AGCTGATAAAAACATCACAATAATCCACACGACTCCAGTCCATCATTTAATGTCGTATGAAGCGAAAAGCTGCATGTTTGTACGAAACAAATACATTATTAAGACGTTTTGACCTTTAAACCATCACTTCTGGCCAAAATATGAGTCCACGTTTTTGCTTGTGAATGTTGCTTGATTCGTGCATATTTCTCTCCTCATTCAGACGAGCCGACTTTTTCACTGGAGGATTACTTGTGGATTATTGTGATGTTTTTATCAGCTGTTTGGACTCTCATTCTGACGGCACCCATTCACTGCAGAGCATCCATTGCTGAGACACTGATGCAATGCTACATTTCTCCAAATCTGTTCCCATGATCGAACAAACTCATCTACATCTTGGACATCCTCGGGGTGAGTAAGTTTGAAGCAAAGCTTTCTTTTTGGGTGAACTATTCGTTTAATGCAAGATATTAGTGCAACAGATGTCACTCACCGTTAGCAGCTCTGGTGTTGTGACGTTACTGGTTAAGGCTTGGCAGAGCATGTTAGTCATGCAGCGGTTAAACTAAAGCCCATCAGAGCCGTGGAAACATTCAGGAGAGATGCTTATAGTCATGTTAGTAAAGTGCCCTACCAAACACATTTGTTTTTATGCAATCATATTTAGTCAGTACCGTGGCTCAATTCTACGGCAATTTCAAATGATCTGAAGCATGTGCTACTGTGACTTACACAAATGTTCAATGCGACATCATGAGGATTTCATTTTCCTTGATCTATTAAGATAAAGGAGCTTGGCTGTATGGACTGCATGTGTATCAGCACATGACTGCCCACATATGTGACCCTGGAGCACAAAAAAGCAGTGTTAAGTCGCTGGGGTATATTTGTAGCAATAGCCAAAAAAAACATTGTGTGGGTCAAAATGATCGATTTTTCTTTTATGCCAAAAATCATTAGGATATTAAGTAAAGATCATGTTCCATGAAGATATTTTGTAAATTTCCTACTGTAAATATATCAAAACATCATTTTTGATTAGTAATATGCATTGCTAAGAACTTCATTTAGACAACTTTAAAGATGATTTTCTCAATATTTAGATTTTTTAGCTCCCTCAGATTCCAGATTTTCAAATAGTTGCATCTCGGCCAAATATTGTCCTATCCTAACAAACCATACATCAATGGAAAGCTTATTTATTCAGCTTTCAGATGATGCATAAATCTCAATTTCGAAAAATTGACCCTTATGACTGGTTTTGCGGTCTAGGGTCACATATGATGAATATTAAAAATGTGCATTTTGATTTCACTTCAGAAAATTCAAAGAGAGAGAGAGAGAGAGAGAGAGAGAGAAACAGTGTAGAATAGCAAAACACACAATATATATGCGTTGCTTAAAAAAAAGAAGCCTAAATTTAAGCAAATTGCACAGTTTGGTCCCTGTCTTTAACTGGATCTTTTCTTTTCATAAAATATTGATTAATCCTCATTAAATTTACGAAAGATATTCAGTCAGTTAATGATTTTCTTTTCTTCTTTGATTAACATTAATGATAGGCAGCACGTTTATTAGACCGCTGTCTCTTTAACACCGAACACACACAGATCTAAAAATACTGTTACACACGCGTTTTCTTTCTCATCTGTTTACGTTCACTTAAGACAAAAAAAACGGCTGTGTTTATGATGATATACTGACGTATTTCGTGCATACTGGTCGATAAATGTGAAAGAGAGAGAAGTTCTGGCCCGGAACAACCTTTGTGGAAATGCACGGAACAATTCGAGAACCGACACCGGTCGGGAACCCGCATCGGGACCACTGTTCTCTGTGCTCGCGCTTCAGATGTGTGCGCTGCACGCAAACAGTGTGCAAGTTCTTTCCCTTCCTGCACTTAAATAGATTAAAATCACATTAAAATGCGAACGCGGGAATCGTTAAACGGAATCGAAATGCACATGTCTTATCGAATACCGGATTATAGGAAATTTGGAACCGGTTCTAAAATGGAACCGGTTCTCGATACCCAACCCTAGTCCTAACTAACATTACATGTGGACCTTATGGTATAAAAAAATTTATTATTATTAATTTAAAAAAATGAATTATGATACACTATTAAAATAAAGGCTCTTTATTGGCATCTACGGTTCCGTGAAGAACCTTTAATATCCTTTAATAAAAAAAATTCACACTAATAATAAAAAATGGAACAAAAAAATGGTGCTTCTATGGAATCACTGCTTTATTTTTTAACCTTTAATATTTTCGGAATGTGCTAAAGCCTTTCCCGATGCAGAGCGCAACGATTCAAATATAAAACCACATGCAAAGATGCGCAGTCAGGAAGTCTCCAGTCAGAAAACAAGACAGGAATTTTCCTCCTAATGACATTTAATGCTACTTCAGTATGATTTAACTTCGGGAACATTTCGGTAGCTCTCATCTCCCTTTACATTTACATTTACATTTAGACATTTAGCAGACGCTTTTATCCAAAGCGACTTACAATTGGGGGATACATAAAGCGATTCTTCTTAAAAGAGGCAAACAGATACAGGAAGTGCTTGTAATACCAAGTTTTTAGACATTGTTCAAATAAGTACACGCTAGAAA